GTGTGTGTGTGTGTGTGTGTGTGTGTCCATCTGTCCCCCCCCCGCATGTGAATTCTCGCTCTCTTTTTTTCTCCCCCCTCCCGCCCCGCCGCCCAGCTGCCAGAGAGGGAGAGAGAGAGAGAGAGAGAGAGGCGACAGGGCCGGCCTCGCGCGACAAGATCACCATCCGGATGAAAAGCCCGGCGCGATCCATCCTGTGCCCATGCCGCGTCGCGCTAGCCCCTTCCCTCTTCCGCTACCCCCCTACCCCCCACCCCCCCTCTCCCGCCCTCCCCCTGCCCCCTTTCGCCCCCGCTCCGCGCAGCCATGTCTCTTTCAAGCCCGGTGGTCCGCTCGGCGCCTGGCAGCTGCACCGACCAGTGCGAGTACCAGGGCGCCTGTCGTCCGGATCTGGATCTGCTGTCCTCCTCCTGTCTTGGTGCGTTCTCCGCGCCGGGGCCGAGCCCCATGTACCGGGATCTCCCTCTCCCCCTCCAACACACTCTCTCACCTTTACCCACACACACACACACACACAAAGAGGCCCGCCTCAGTGCACTCAACAACCTGGACCTGTCGGACCGCACGGACTCCTCGATGCCTCCGTGCGGCAGCGCCGACGAGGCCACCATCCCGGCCGAGGTGCTGGCCGAGGTGGCCGCGCGGGCCCCGCACCCGCGGCACTCGCAGAAGCTGCACGCGGCCGACGAATGCTGGGTCGACCCGCCGGTGCGGGTCATCGACCACGGGGACAGCCGCGGCCGGGCGGTGGTCGCCACACGGGCCATCCCCGCCGGGGCGGTGTTCTTCCGGTCGCGCGCCTACACGGTGACCGTGGCCCAAGAGTGGCTGCAAAATGTCTGTGTCTACTGCCAGGCCTTCACCCCGACGGCGCGCATGCCGGTCCGGTGCGAGCTCCCGCAGGAGGTCCTGCCGGAGTCGTCCTCCGGCAAGGGCCGGGCCCGGCGCCAGGGCCCCCTCATCATCGGCTGCCAGTGCACGTATTACTGCTCGGCCCGCTGCCGGGAGATGGATCTCCCCCGGCACGCGCTCGAGTGCGGGGCCCTCGGCATGGTCCATCGCGAGTACAAGAACCTGCAGGCCGTGCGCCAGGGGCATCTCATGAAGACGCAGGCGCGCTTCCTGGCCAGCGTCTACTCGCGCAAGCGCTCCCTCATCATGGAGTACGGGGATGCGGCGCGTGTCCCGGCCTCCGGGCCGGACCGTGGCATTGTTCCCCTGGAGGAGATCAACCAGCGTGCGTGTCCCTGCGCGGGCCGTGGCGGGCCGCCTCTTCTCTTCTTCTCCCCCCCCCCCCTCTTTGTGTCTTTCTTTCTTTCCGGCCGGCCATTTTGTCTAATCCCCCTGCGCAGACCTCGCCGACAGCGCCACCGGTGCCATGCCCACCAACAAGGACCTCTACTCGTGCGTGCCCTGCTCGTCCTTCTGGCTGGCATCAGCCGCTTGCCCGCGCCTCCCCGCGCCTGGGGCCCGTATGCTGACCCTCTTTGGGCTTGTCGTCGCCCCTCCCCCCGCCGCCCCTTGGCAGGCTGACCACCAACCTGTCGGCCTACAAGAATGACGAGGCCACCATCTTCTTCTGGAAGACAGTGCGTCAGCCGGATGGCCCATGGCTGCCGTGCCCCCCCCCCCCCCGCCTTCCGCCCATCCCCCTGGCGTCCTCCCCTCGCCCTCCCTTCTTTGCACTTACCACCGCCCTGTAGATCGTGGTCTTCCTGCGCAAGGTCCTGCCTGCTTCCTTCATCGACGATACGGACGACGAGGTGCTGGAGGTCCTCTGCCGGGCCGAGTGCAACTCCTTCGGCTTCTGGGACGATGGCGAGGAGCTCTACTCGTATGGCGTCTTCCCGGATGCCTCCTACTTCAACCACAGCTGCGCGCCGAACGCCTACAAATTCACTCGCGGCCGGTGCGAAGCTCCCCTGCCCGGGCCACGCCCGTTCCTCTCGCTGTCCAGCCGCCCGACACTGACGCCACTGCTCTTTCGGCCCACTCGCGCGCGTGCGCACACACACACACACACACACACACACACGCGCGCACACACGAACCCAGCGACGTCTTCTTCCGCGCGCTGCGCACCATCGAGGAGGGCGAGGAGGTGAACATCTCGTACATCTTGATCTCCGATGCCTTCGAGAACCGGCAGAAGTACCTCTCCGAGTACTATTGCTTCCAGTGCGGCTGCCCCCGGTGCAAGCTCGGTGTGCGTGCTCGGCTCTCTGCCTCTCTCTCTCTCTCTCCCTACCTCCTTGCCCTCTCCCTGCCTCCTTGCCCTCTCCCTGCCTCCTTGCCCTCTCCGGCTGCGGGGTTACCTCTGTGACGTTGCCCACGCCAATACTGACCCCTTCCCGTCCCTCCCCCTCCCGCTACACGGGGCCAACGTAGCCGCTGCCGATTGATCAGGACGAGTTCCGGCTGCGCTTCTGGCACGGCCTGTGCGATGGGTTCCTCTTCCGCTGCGAGGCGTCCCCCACCAACCCGCGAGCCATCTACTGCTCCAAGTGCGGCATGGTATCCGAATCCGGGGATCTGACCCTGCCGGCCCTCCCGTGCACCGGGCTGATGAAGCCCCGGTCGGCCGGCCTGGCCGAGAAGTATGACTGCCCGACGGATGCCTGCCCGCCGGTGTGCCTGCAGGCCGGGCAGGAGGCCGCCGGCGCCACCGCCGCCGGGGGGCAAGTGGCCACCCCGGACCCGGAGGGCCGGCCTTCGGTGTACGACACCCGCGGGCTGGCGCCGCCCGAGCGCCACGTCGCCACCAGCCTCGTGATTCCGGTGCAGCCGGACGGCGCCCGGCCGCCGAGCCCGGACAATTCCTCCCTCCGGGACCTGAAGATGGACTCCTGGCTCGGGACCCTGGAGGAGTGCCTGGCGCCGGAGCGCGAATGAGCGGGGCCCGCCCGAGAGGCGCCGGTGTGTGTGTGTGTGTGTGTGTG